CCGAAGGCATCGGAGCAGTAGATGTCGGCCAGCTTGGCCAGGGATGCGCGGAACTCCTTCACCTTGTCGGAGGAGGCCTTCACCTTGTTGCCATCAGCATCCTTGCCCTTGCCTTCCTCCTCAACGTAGTACCGGGAGTTCTCCAGCAAGATCACAGTGCCCGGCTCGGGGTCGGCGCACGCAGCCTCGACCTCCTCCCCGACCACGTCGTTCATCAGCTTCACGGGGCGTCCCAACTTCTCCTCGACCACCTTGGCCACTGGCTTCATGGAGAACTTCTCGTCCTGCGCCCAAAATCCAACCCAACCCATCGTCCCGCAGGCAAAAAAAGGCCAAAAATAAAACAAAATACCAAAAATAATAACCCCTCCACCCTAAACCCTAAACCCTCATTTGAGCAGGGACTGCAATGCACTACATCCTAAACCCTAAACCGGAAAACTTCTCGTCCTTCTGCCCATTGGGGCGGCCCAAGTGCGAGCAAAGCACCACAGACTTGGCACCGTTGTCCAGGGCATACTTGATGGTGGGCAGAGCGGTATCGATTCGGGCCGTGTTGGTGATGATGTTCGGGTCCTTCTTGTCCTGAGGCACGTTGAAGTCGACGCGGATGAAGACACGCTTGTCCTTGAGGTCCACTCCATCAATCTTCAGCTTGGCCAAGGACCTGCATGCGACGACGCTCTTGGCTGCGCGAGGCTTGACGCCCTGCTGGCGGGAAGAAGCCGACGCGCCTCGCACAGCGGCAACACTCAAGCCGGCCACGGCCAAGGCACCGGCCATGCCCTGCACAGCACCCGTGCTGCTAGTGCTGGTGCCAGTGCTGGATGCCAAGAATCCCTGCGCGTGGGCCACCTCCTGCTGCATCGGTTGAGCACGGCTCTGCCCGGGTGCCAAGAAGGCAAGGCCTCCCAAAGAGGCGGCGCCAAGAAGGCCACCGGCAAGGACACTCGAGGAGCGAGCCATCGCAAAGTTGACAAGGCGAGGGAAGTAGGTGGAGGACCAGGAGGGGCTGAAACAGCTGCAGGGAGATGTTACGATCAAGCTGCACCTGACCTCTTCTTAGTTGCTGAGTTCATAAGCAAAAAAAAGTGCACACTTTCACTTCTATAAGGGATCAGATTATCCCAAAAAGTTTATAGTGTACTCATTCAGCTACTAAGTCTTCACCATGCACTATGCGTCATGAACACCTCCGATAATTGAAACACACACCTCACATCCCCAAAGCCTGCCCAAAGCCAACGCTCAACACCCCATAACCCGTAACCCTGAGCCCTAGGCCCAACTCCTAAACCCTAAACCCCTAAACCCCTAAACCCCTAAACGCCTAAACCCTGAACCCCTAAACCCCTAAACCCTTAACAAACCCCGAACTAAACCCCTAAACCCCTAAACCCTAAACCTTGAACCCGAAGGCACAGAAGCTCCCCGTCCTGGGAGTAGGTGATGGCCGGGGCAGCGGCTTGGGAGGAGCCTGCGAAGGAGCTTTCGAATCTTGCCGTAAGCCCCTGTAGGGCTTAGAGCTTAGAATGGGTTTAGGGTTTAGGGTTAAGGGTTCAGGGTTTAGGGTTTAGGGTTTAGGGTTCAGGGTTGAGGGTTGAAGGTTTAGAGCTTAGAATTTAGAAGTCAGGGTTTAGGGTTCAGGGTTGCACAAGGGTGGACGACCACGTGAAAGGTCTTAAGCTGGTGGGGCCCAAGCCTGTCGTCACCGGCTGGGCTGCCGCAGAGCTCACCTGACTGCATGGTCGTTCTTATTGTTTGCCTTATTCTTATCCAGCTCATTCTTCTTCTTGTTAACATTCTTATTTTTATGATTCTTCTTCTTCTCAAAAACTATCATTCTTATTGTAGTCTTGTTATCTGTTCTTCTGATGCTTCTCCGCATTATACTCTTCCGCATATTTCTGCATGCTGTTATTACTACCTGTTGCCTCTTTTGCAGGATCAAGGGCTCTCCCCGGCTGTTTGTCTGCGGAGCATGCCTCGAAGGATATCATGCAGCTCGGAACTATCGATGGCTTCACCGGGTCAGGAGGTTCAGGGTCTAAGAGGTTTAGGGGTTTTAGGGTTTTAGAGTTTAGGGTTTAGGGTTTAGGGTTTAGGGTTCAGGGTTGAGGGGTTTAGGGTTTAGGGGTTTAGGGTTTGCTGTTTAGGGTTTTGGGTTCAGGATACTGGTAGCTCTCCAAATTAGGGTCCCTTTGGGGGCCCCTGTTTTAAGGGTGCCGTACTATTTGGGGACCTACAAAAAGGGACCCTAATTTGGAGAGCTACTCATACACTTCAGCTGCGTTTGGGTTCTTGTGGGCCTGACACGACAAAATGTGGATCAGGTCTACTACGGCTGATGGCATAAATCCTGCATTACCCATCATATAAGGAATATGCCATAATTCCCATTCGCATAGTTTAGGGTTGCCCCATGAACCCAAACCCCGGCGGGTTCAGGCTTTAGGGTTTAGGGTTTGGGGTTTTCGGGTTTAGGGTTTAGGGTTTAGGGTGGCTCCTGACGCCATAAACAGCATCGAAGAACCCCACAGACCACTCGAAGCTGCAGTTCGGACTGGGAGCTGACAGTCTTGGCCAGAGACCGAAAGAGGACTTTATTCGGTAAGGGAACTACGGAAGTCATGGACGCACAGTTTGCACAAAGTACGCTCTAGCCGTCTTCCAAGAGTCTGCCAGCGCAAACATACAGGTATAAGAAACGCATATTCGCAGCCCACGACGACCCTCCGCTCTGAATGCCGACACTAGGGCCTGCTGCTCATGGTGAAGAACTTCACTTAAAGTGCTATAGTCAGGAGAGCATAACAGTAATCATCTGAACTCAACTTAAGACTTAAGGTATCGTACAGTGTCACGCATCATACTCATCTTATCCCTGCTATGGTCACGTGATTTGAGCTCTTTGATGCACAAATGGGCAGTAGGCTTTGGGGGGGGCGGGCGCACTATAGCAGTTGTCATTATCAAAAACCAATGTAAAGCGATTGCTGCTACTAAGTATTCAGATGCCTGTATTCGGCCGGGCTGCTGTGTAGGTTGTCACTTGCTGCGCCATGGCAAGGACACGACCGCAAGCTCGAACGTCTCTTGTTCAGAGTCACAGCTGCACGGAGAAGGCGGTGCTTGGGATTTCGGTTTCACCTCAAACCTTTTCCCAGACCCACAAAACTCTGCACCCCGAACCTAAACATCTGAGACTTCATGGCCAAACTAAGACGCAACAGTCACCCCAAGCCTGAAACCCTTACACGCCAGAGGTCGCACAACAACAACCCCCCAACAATCACAAAGAACACGCCCCAAGACCCTCAATTCCTCGCATTTTTCCTCAAGGTGAAGGCTTTGGGGCTGTATGGTCCTAGGCATTATGTTTAGGGATTTGGGGATTTAGGGCTTAGGGGTTTAGGGTTAAGGGTTTAGGGTGTTGGTGCTTCTGGTACAAAGTTCAAACTCTTGCTGAGGGCCTTCTGACTTTGCCCCCCGCCCCCCCTCCGCCCAGGTCTAGGAGAATTCCGCAAAACCCTAAAAACCCTAAAACCCTAAAAACCCTAAAAACCCCAAAACCCTAAAACCCAGAAACCCCGCTTCTCTTCCTGTTCATGGCTTGGTTTTCTGGGATGTCTGTAGGATTTGGAAGGAACCCTTCAAACGGAACCCCTACCACAAAACCCTAAACCCTTTAAAGGAACCCTACCACAAAACCCTAAGCCCTTGAAAGGAGCCCTACCGCAAAACTCTAAGTCCTTTAGGGGATCCTACCGCAAAACCCTGAGCCCTTTAAAGGAGCCCTACGGCAAAATCCTAAGCCCTTTAAGGAATCCTACCGCAAAACCCTAAGCCCTTTCAAGGAGACCTACCGCAAAATCCTAAGCCCTTTAAGGAATCCTACCGCAAAACCCTAAGCCCCTTAAAGCAACCCTACCGCAGAACCCGAAGCCCTCTAAAGGAACCCTACCACAAAACCCTAAGCCCTTTAAAGGACCCCTACCGCAAAACCCGAAGCCCTTTAAAGGAGCCCTACCACAAAACCCTAAACCCTAAACCCTGTAAAGGAACCCGACAAAACCCTAGGATTCGGGGCACTGGCTTTGGGGTTTGGGCTAGCACCGCGGGGCCTAAGCCTCAGACCCAAACCTTCAAATCCTGGTTCCGCAGCATAGCCTGTAGGGTTTCGAGCCCTTAAGCTTTAGGGCTTTAGGGCATTGAGTACATGCCGCCCTTGAAGCACCTTGGAATCTGCATGCAAACCCCTGTCGGAGTGTCGCTACGCCTTTCGCACACACTTGGTTCGGTGTCCTGCCTGAGCATTGACGGGTACTTGAAACACAGGGATATGCATGATTTACGTATGGTGTCGGGTTTGGGGTCTACGGTAGCTTCATTTAGGTCACCACCTGCAACCCTACCTACAAGCATCCATAAATGGTCCATAAACCTTCAAGCCTCAAGCCACACGCAGGCCCCGAAAGACCCAAAGAAATCACAAGCGCAATACTGCCCAGAATCCCTGAGTTAGTTCTGGAGAAGCTTTTCCAGCAAGAGAGATGCCATGTCAAAGCAAAACGGTGCTGCCTGCCAGTCAGTTTCACGTGAGTCAGGGTCAAAGACTAGACTCAAGACATGCGAAGGATACACACGAAGATGCGTGCCTTTAGATCATGCCATCCTAGAACATTCTGCTTCACCTTGGCCCACGCGCAGAGTGGAAAACACCCGCACTGTGTCTTGAGGAAGCGAGGCTGTACCGCGCCTGCTTTTGATCAACACCTGTCGAACTTCAAAGCCTACAGCTTTGGGCCCTCGGAATCCTTATTTGGGTGAGACGAACCTCCTGATGATCGAGGATGAGGGCCCTGGACCCCGACCCGGACCTGAAGATCTTCCCTTCTGAAGGAATTTATGTAAGAAGATGGTAAGTTTGCTAGGGTTTTGAGGTAACCCCTAAACCCCAAACCTAGCCGAGTCTTCCTTGGAAGCTCTTAGAGGGGGGAGGGGGTAGCTCATCCGTCTAGTCATGGAGGAACTTGAGGGGGGCAGCTTATAGTATAACTGTGTAGTGGCTCCCCGGGGATCTAAAACAGAACACAGTGCCAGGCAAAATCGATAATGGCAGAGCAACGACGTCTCCTTCCAAGAGGGAGCTCGCAGCCATCTTGGTGAATGTCACTCTGCACGATACGCAGCTTCCTTCCTTTCCCAGAGAACCCAACACGCCCTAATTAAGGAAGATACCTTAAACCATTATATTAAGGCCTCCATAATTTAAGGCCTATTCCTTAATTAGGGGGTATTGGGTTCTCTGGGCTCCCGTCCTTCATGATCCTAGCAAAGATCTGGCCGCTACGGCAAGTTCCGGGCCGAAGCCGGAGGTCTTAACTCCAAGGAGGTTATGATACTAGGATCGCAGTAAATGAAAACGGGGTTTGGGGGGTTTACTATACCATAATTCCATAATACAGACTATAAGGGAATACGTTTAATCATACCATAATTCCATAATGCAGACTCTCAGGGAATATGCATGAATATACTTACGCACGATCCCGGCATGGATGTTGCATTACGATAGAAACCCTAAGCCGTAAACCCTAAAACCGGTTGCAGTACCATGGGAACCCTGAATGAGTCGTCCCTCCGCGAAGGCTTCGCAGGGCGGTGTTCGATGCTTTCTGAGTTCAGCTATGAATACTCACGTGCGACATAATTAAGGGTTTAGGGTTTAGGGCTTAATCTTTATAAGAAACTGTACACACAGGGACAGAAGCTCTACAGCCGCTCTCTCCCTCTCCACCTCTGAATTTACAGCATATGCCTCTGAAAACGATTCCGTCGTCTATGACTGCAGACTAGACCATGTTGTCCCAACATAAAGGTCTACAGTCAGGCTTAATTAGGGGCTTCGGGTCAGGCTCAGGGGTTTAAACTGTTTCGGTTTAACCCCCAACAAACCCCACATA